AACTGAAGAACTATCTGAAAAAAAAAAAAACTGGATTCAGACATACCATCTTATATCAATTGAAATTCCAAATTGGTCAGAGATTTTAAAGTTTAAAGTGAAAGCATGAAAATTCTAGAAAAATCCACGAGAAAGGTCTTCATGAGGATCAAATAAGTAAAGACAAATGACAAACTGGAAAAATAGTTTGCAACTCATATCCCTAAATTATAAAGAGCTTTTAGAAATCAAAAAGATAAAGGGCCAACAGCCTAATGATTGTTGTATTGTCTATTCAAAAGTAAATTTAAAATAAGATACCATTAACTATAACAACAAATACTGAGGAGTGGATAATAAAATACATATAAGCCCTTTATTGGGGAAATTATGACTTTCTAGTTGAAAGTCACTAGGGAAAAACTAAATAGTTTGTTAATGTACAGAAATGTTCTACATTAAAAAGATGTTAATTCTTCCTAAATTCATTTATAAATATATGCCAGTTCTAATTCAAGTGTGAATGTGGTTCTTGTGGAACTTTATCACCTGATCCTAAAAATTATCTGATAGAGCAAAGGAACTATCATACTCCAGAGGAAAGCAGGAATAAATTGCCTTAGCAGACATCAAGCATTATTATAAAGTGGTGGTAATTAAAACAATATAGGGATAAACAAATAGACTCATGAACAAAACAGAGGGCCAGAGTATGCCATGCTGGTGAGGGAAATGTATGCAGGTAGTAGGCATTACAAACTACTGACAACAGTCTGTTTATAAGTGTTACTGAAGAAATGGGATCTCCAATCAGAAAAACATATTGAACACATTCACACTATACTACAAGAAATTAACTCCAGATCAAATAAAAACCCAAGTACAAAAAGCAAAACTTTAAAGTTCTTATTTTAAAAATAGGAGACAATTTGTATGACCTTGGTTGCATAGGTTATGATTTTTTAATACTCCAAGTGCACAAACTGTAAAGGAAAAGTTTGATAAATTTAGCAGACAAGGTCATTGAGATTATTTTTAAATATAAATAACTGCAGTGGAGTCATATAAGCAAAGTCTTGATTAAAGTGGTTTGATCAATAAATAAGCAATGAAGAGGTAAAGACAGGGAATATTGACTCCTATTTTGAGGAAATTCAAAGGGAAAAGAAGAAATCTGAAGCCACATAGTATTTTGAAAAGAACACTAGGCTTACTGTCAGGAGACTTGGACTTGAGCCCCTGATTACCACTTATTACCTGAGAGACCTTGCCCAAGTCCCTTAATCACTCTCTTTTAACTCACAGGCCAGCATTCCTTCACTTACACCACGCTCCCCACATCTTGAAAAATACTTAACTCACTACAGCACAAAGTCCTCAGTCTCTCTTCTCTGTACATACTGACTTGTTGAGAAAATAAGTTCAGGTGAGTTTCTCACAAAACAGGTTAAGTAGACCCTTTCATTGTTCCTGGCAAAGTTCTGTCACTTGGTAGTTGTCCATCCATTCTCTTGACTCACCTACAAAAGATTCAAGATGGACCTAGAATGCTGAAAAGGACTTTAAAGAATCTGGCCCTGTTCTTAGATAAGGAAAACTGGAAACAAGTGAATTATTCAGGGTCACAGGTGAACATTTGACTGATCTGCCTCTAGAACTGAGACCTTCTGTTTTCTGATCATGGATTATTTTACAATATATTGTGGTGACTTCTTGACCATCCAATAAAAAGAATGCTTTCTTTTTCAGAGTACTGATTATATTTAATGGATGATCATTTCATTCAGCACTTAAATTACTATTTTATATTTTAGTTAGCTGTTTACATATATATAGGCCATCTCTCAACTAGACTGCCAATTCTTTCTCTAGGGAAGTTTTAATACATGATGTCTAATCCTGAGAAATTGTCTCGACCTTCATTGACCTTGTTTCCCATTTGTAAAATGGAGATACAGATTAAATTCTAATACAAATAATACAACTAAAATGATAGTTAAAATTACTGTATAACAAATCCTACCATTGACATTTTCCCCAACCATCTTTTTTTTTTAAATATTTATTTTTTAGTTTTCGGTGGTGGACACAACATCTTTATTTTATTTTTATGTGGTGCTGAGGATCAAACCCAGCATCCTGCGCATGCCAGGTGAGGGCGCTACTGCTTGAGCCACATCCCCTGCCCTCCCCAACCATCTTTGTAACAACACATTTCTACTTCCATGAAATAGTATAAATAATATTTATTGTATAGAGTTCATCTCATTAGGATTGAACTTGCAAAATACTTGCTTTATGAACCCCAGGAATATTATGGCATAAAAAGAAATAAGTATATCAGTGCATTTGAGAAAGAAAAGACTAATTCAAAGAGTAAGAACTCCTTGATGGGTCAGGGAAGAGAGCTATCTATTATGTGCTCTTCACAGGATCATTTGGACAGGCAGAGTGAGTTATCCTGGCAGATACCTGATGAGCTTTCACAGTCACACAGAGTAACGGGCTTGGAGGAGAGAAGAAATGAAGAAATAAAAATTCTTTCAAACACAATTGCTAAATTAAGGGCTATTATAACAAATATAATTCTGTTTCAACATGTCATAGGGGAACAATAGAAGCAACTGTAGCAGGAAATTTTAAAACACCAAAAATTGTACTTATGTCAATTACCAAAAGTTAATTTTAATTTGTATTATGTGTAAGTGATGTGACAAAATGCAACATTTAAAATTTTTATTTTTGTTATCTCTAAACTGTTATAAAATTTTGTCTAGTTTTAATGATGGAACTTTGTCTTTATTTTTTTTTAATTCAAAATCTATTATAAGAAATTTGGAAATGTATATGAGAGCATTTACTAAATAGGCTCTGTACCTTCTACTTGTGTAAATGCATTGCTTGTTATAAAATATCGCTCTTTTGGTTACTGATCTCTAGTGAATCACACTTGGCCTCATGCTGCTGGTTTCTGTGTAGCTCAGGTTCACTGAGTGTTAAAAAGAAGCAGCTCATGCTGTTTTCATCAAGCTAACTTAGTGCAGGTGACTGAGTTCCAGACTGTGTTTCAGAGTCAGAGCTAAGTTAGACTCATCAAAGAAGCAGCCAGCTGGACCCATTATTGTTTATAATCTATCAAAATCTTGTGCATGTTTTTAGGATAGGTCAGTTCATGATCTGTTGCTTTAGCCCACGAACAATATCACATCAGTATGTTAACCCCTCAATGCTGAAATTATTTTAAGATGTCTTACATAACATAAGAAAATTTCCACAATTTGCCTCTCCTAGGAAAGTGCAATTTGGATCTACTAATTTTATATTAATTAATGAAGAATTTTTTAAAAAAACATTTTGTTGTAAAAATGGTAAGAATTTTTAAAAATAAGAAAAAAAGAGGAAAAAATACCTGAAGACTCTCATGATACTTCAGTACATTTTTTCAATATTTTTCTATGTATTATTTCCCAATTTTTTACTAAAAATTTCAAATGTACAGCCAAGTTGAATTTAATGGTAAATACTCATACACCCAAACCTATGTTTTACCATTAACATTGTACTATCCAGTTTAGTTTACTTGTTTCATTGATGAATCTCCCATCCCTCTATCCATCCATCTGTTCATGTTGTTTCTAAAAATCATTTCAGAATAATTGTAGACATTCATATGCTTTTTTCTAAATAATTCAGCTTGCATATCATTGATTAGAGTTCAATATTTGATATAGTTTCTTAATTTGAAATGAAATTTATATACTGAAATATAAACCTTAGGTGTACTATTGTTGAATTTTGACAAATGCACATACTCATTTAATCCAATCCCTATCAAAATTTCAGTTTTTCTTTTTGTACTTAATATTATAATATAAGCATTTTTTAAATTAAAAATCTTCATGATTTTAATGACAATATTTATAATATTCTAAATTTAGCTTTTTAATTAACCTTGATATTATTTTGGTATTCTGATTTAAGTTGGTTCTAAGTAGTGTATCTTTTTCCTAAATCTATTATCAACATCTGTTATTTCCATCCTTCTTCATTGATATGAATTACTTCTCTATAATTCTGATTATGTGATATTACATTGATTTTTCTATATTATGACATTTTTCATGATCAAGCCTTGACACTCTCCAGCAGTATTAATAATCATAATAAATGTTGAATTCTTAAATTCAACTGTGTGTGTGTGTGTTTGGTTTTGCTGGGGGTGGATCCCAGGGCCTCATGTATGCTAAGCAAGCCCTCTACCGCTAAGTTATACCTCTAGCCCTAATAAAATGGCTTTCTTTTAGACTCTGTAATGAAATTGGGGCCTAATTCCCAAATATCTTCTGGCCCAAAAATTCCCCTGTCATGTTTGAACTAGGTTTTTCATTTGTAGACTGCTAGACTCAGAAGTTGAGAGGGAAGGGAACACTATTTATTTAGAAGGCCACCTTCAGGTCCTGAGCTTATATATATTTTCTCTTTGTACACTTTTCTCCAACTTTATCCAAAGATCAAGGCCACTTATTTCAGTGTAATATTCCACTATATGCTTTCCTAACCTAGAGAGTACATTAAGAGTATGACTATTTAAAATATATGGATATTAACTAAATTAATACCAACAAAATTGTCAGTGTCTGTACCCTGCCACATTAGCCACTGGAAGCCATGAGACTGTGTGCATTCAGCTGACTTGTGTGAGCTAAGCCTCCAAACTGAGATAGGAGAAATAGTGTAATGATCTAGTGATTACAGTTAAATATATATATATATATATATATATATGTGTGTGTGTGTGTGTGTGTGTGTGTGTGAGAGAGAGAGAGAGAGAGAGAGAGAGAGAGAGAGGAGAGAGAGAGAGAGAGAGAGAGAGAGAGAGAGAGAGAGAGAGAGAGATTGTGTGTGGAAAAGGGATTAAGGGATCAAAATAGTTAATTTCAGGTTTCTCTGGTTCAGCTAATCACTGCTTTGGCTTTTGGATTGGTTATGATTTAAAACATTATTTTTTCTTTTTAAAACAGGAAATAAAGGAGAAAAAGAAATTCTGCAAGATGTATATAGAAGACCTTGTGAAGGAAGCCACAGAAATCAATATGAAAAATGAAGCTTTGCAGAAGCTTTGGCCGCAGATGTTCATTGAGCTTGTTAGGGATGCAGTCATAGAAATCCGCAATAAAAATTCCTATATGAAGCTCTGCCTACAGCAGATAACTGACCAAAAATAGAGAGGGCTTTTAGTTACTGTTGATTTTGGCAGTTTTACTTTTTCTAAAGGTTGAAAATATGCAGATTAAATATGTTAAAACAACATTATCCTACAGACTAGGAAGAGTAGCATCAAAATGTTATTGACTATTGTTCTCAAAGTTAAAGATTAAGAAGGAAAGCAGGAACAAGGGAGGATTCATTTCATATATGTGTTGACCAGATGGCTTGGATGTTAGGTTGGCAATGCATCTTCCGTTCTTGCTCTGATCAGAGCCCCCGCTATAGCCCAAAGCACATGGCATTTGCTGATGGGTCAGCATGAGTTGCTTCTACCTACTTTCAGCTGATGGTTTTCATTTGTTTGCCTTTTTATTTTATGTCATGATTTCAAAGCCAAAAATATGTTCTTTTTATGAGTGAAGAATAAACTTAATACATTAGTTAAAAAAAATTTTTGCCTCTTTAGTCCAGTCAGTATTGTCATATTTGATGTATTTTTATGTTCTGCTTTTGTTGGGTAGGATCCCTGCAGTTCACCTACGTGGGAGGAGGCCCCATTCTTCTAGGGATGTATCTTCAGGGCACAACAGGGAGACCTGGGAGTCACTATGGGCAGAGAATATTAAAATGAGTTAATACTGGGATAGAAAAAAACGCTTGATCTTAAAAGGATCCTGAGTGAATATAAAATGCAATCACAAATCAGTAGTCTGCTTTGATGAGAGTTGTTTCCTTCTTATTGACTGCCATGGGGCTCTTTTTATAGGCATGTATGTGTACCTGTATCTTAGAGGTATTAAGGATATAAGGGTGAAAGTTTCTAATTTTTAAAATTCCATTGGAAAATCAAATATATAATCAAGATGTGAGCAGGGCTTGAGCCTCATTCATGCTAGTGAACAGGGGATTGCAGCCTTTTTCCAGAGCTGGAGATAGGACATACAATTTCAGAAAAAAAAATAATCTTACAGGTCAATAAATAGGAATTCTCCACTTTGCTCAGATTTTGCCCAGCAGCCATCATGTCAACAGACCACAAGGCTGTGTGAAAACTAGAAGATGCAAGACAGCAAAATCATACATAGATGCCTGGAAGAACACTGGGTGTATTGCTGTTGCAGACCCAAGAAGGAGCCACATCCTTAAGATATCTAAGTTCCCCTCTCCTCGAAGGAGTGCTCAAGTTTAGTAGGTGAAACAATTTTTCTGAACATTGTCTTTAAGTCACACTGTCATGGGTTAACATTTTGGCACTAAGCTATCAGCTTACTAATTTATGACCCATCTGATCCTCAGTTTTATCATAATAGTACTTACTTCTTAAGATTGTCATGGGGACCACAGGAGATAGTGCATGCAAAGCGTTTCTCACAATGCCTGGCACTCAGCCTACAACCAATAAATGGAGCTGTTATTCTTAACTGTTTGGACACCAGTTGAACCATAAATTTTGTGCCATAGAACAGCAAGAGCTGTTAGTTAGCATTGCTTGGTGATCCTTCAGCCTCTCCAAATTGGAACAAGGACCATTTCTCATCTGGCTGGTGACTCATGATCTCTCATAGGGTTTAAATCTTCTTTGGTATAGAAATGAGATCCCGGCTTGAAGGTGATGTGGAAAGAAAAAACTAAGAATATCCTCTTCATGTACTTATACTACATAGGAAAGAAAAAAGAACCTGTGCCTCTTCAGGAATGTGGGGAGCTCTGGGATTTGCAGGTGGATAGCCTGGCTGTTTAATAAACAACCTATCCAGCTTCTTTCCTCTCCTCGCCTAATCCTCCCATTCCTGATCTGTTCCTCAGCCCTCACCAGTTCTTCTGAGAACTTGAGGGACCCAAGGTCACAGCAGTGATTGAGTTGGTAGTAAACCTGCTCAACCACTGCTGGCTCCATGCACACCTGCTTCAGGCCTAGAAATAGGGTTTCTGACTTGTTTGGGAAACCAAGCCTCCCTATTCTTCACTTTGGTCTCTCCTTTGTTTGTACCTAAGTTTCTTACTCTTTGCTCCCCCTTCTCCATACTGATTTCTACTCTTGAATCCTTATTTTGTCTGGTCCTAAACTCCCAGTGGCTGTGTCCTCCCATCCAGTTCTATCCTCCAAACTCAATTTGCTTGTTGGAGTTCCTAGGTGAGGATAAATCCCCAGATGAAATGAGCAGGAGGACCTGGGTCTATTGGATCTGGTATTAAGGGACTGAACTATATTGTGAGTGAGTGATGATCCATGGAACATGCCCTTTCTACTTGGGATTTCCAGAGAAGGGGAAGAGGTTCTAGGGTGTGCTGAAGTTCTGCTTTGTTTGCAAAAGTGATCTCAAGCAGAAACAGAGTATTATGGCTTTCTCAAAAGTAGAAGCATCTAGTATCCCCCAGTCAGGGATATAATATTCCCACATTCTAGTTCAGCAATTGGATAGTAAGTGCTGGATCTGGGCTGGTACCAAGAATACTGTTGGATCTATGGCTAGTTAACTGTGCTACTTAATCTGAGGATGGTATCAGCTCCCCACTTCACTCCACTGAAGTCCTGGCATGTGAGCCAGTACAGCCCTGCCATGCTCCTTATCTGTTACTGATCAGAGCAGAGAGTACACTGGGATACATATTCTCCAAGATGAATAATAGTAACCATAACAACAAAGATTCGTTGAGCAGTGTCTTACACTATTATAAGCTCCTTATGTGCGTCATCACATTTAGTCTCCTAACACTGTAATATATGCATGCTAGTTACCCCTATGTGAGCATTAGAAAACTGAGACAGAGTGTTAAATAACTCATCAAGGATATTTCAGTCAATAAATAGTGAACAGAGACTGCATTCTCTGTTAGTCATCAGGATTTGACATTGGGGGAAAATTACGATACCTATTGTCTTTCCTAATCTGTTTTCATGTTTTGCTATTATACTGTAGGATAGCAAATGGAAGATGAGAATTTCACAAACGTGCCTACATGTACAGCACATTGAAGAACATAAAGTACAGTATAAATGTTAATTGTAAAATGCATATAAATAGATGGACAGCACTATGTATTTGGGAAATATATATATATATATATATATATATATAATAGGACTTATAGGACTGCCTTATATTGTGAGTGAGGGGTGATCCATGGAACATGCCCTTTCTACTTGGGATTTCCAGAGAAGGGAAATATGTATTATATATGTGTGTGTGTGTATAGAGAGAGAGAGAGAGAGAGAAAATATCAAAATGAAGAAGGGGTAAGAGCAAGTATCAAATTAGGGAGGCCAGGGAGAAGGGTATTAAACTGATAATAGGCAAAAGATATGTTGACTCAGATCAAGGTGGTAGCAGCTGAAGTGTCAAGAGGTGATGGGATCTGGGATTTACTTTAGAGGCAGAACCAACAAGATTTCCTGATAGACTGGATGTGGGATATAAGAGATAGGAGTGAATAATAGTGCTTTGGTTTTGAGCTTAGACAACTAAAAAGATTGAGTTATTATCAAGTAAGATGGGAGCATGAATGGAGTATCCTTGAGGAAGAAGATCAGGGAGTCTGTCTTGTACTTATTGATTTCAATATGGTTATTAAATATCCAAGCACAGGTGTTTAGCAGGTGTAGATATAGGAGTTGAGAGTTGAGAAGTGTGGGCTGGGCTAGATTATAAAATTTGGAGTCATCAGACTGAGGATATAGCTCGGTGGTAAAGCACTTGCTTAGCATGTGTGAGGCCCTGGGTTTCATTCCCAGTACCACAAATAATGATGATAATAATAACAGTGATTATTATTATTATTATTTGGAGTTCTTGTTATATTATTTTTAAGAGAACAAAATGGTCACTGGTTAAATGATATTTATAGTTTATGTGCCTTTTAGTTTTATCTAAGTTTTTTCATGTGGTCAAATCTTTCATTGTTTTTCTTTATGATTTCTTTCATTGTGATTAAGCTTATCCATAGAATAAATAATAATTCACCTATGTCTTTCCACATTTTGGTGCCATGCTTCTATTAATAGTCTGTGGATAGATCAAAACATGACTGGGTCATCTTTTCTTTGGCAAAACCTGGGCTTGATTCTCTCAGGTTCCAGATTGTTTAATAAGATATTCTTGAAGGGGTGGGGAAGAAAGAAGAAAGAGAAAAGGGAAAGAAGGAAGGAAAGAAAAGAAAGGAGGGAACAAGAGAGGGAAGGGTGGAAGGAGAAGGAGAGACCTGGCTAGTTAGTAAGGCAAAATACAAAATAGAATAGAGACTGCTCAGGAAAACATTAAGTTTAAGCTTTAAAGAACAAAGGTTAGTTTGTCTAACCTGCTTTTATGGGTCAGCTAGAGATGATGTGGTTACTATTGCCAAGAATTTCAGAGCCAAGTTTGAAATTTGATCTCAGCAACTGTGGTCCACCGGTATTGATGGAATATTTGTTATCTTTGATCCTGATTTTCTCCTTATGTTTTCCTTACTCATTGTAGGTATCTTCTTTTTTTCTAGCTACCTCAAATCTTTTATGGAAAGAGCTAAAGTGTATTCAAATAGCTAAAGAATAAATGACTCCTAAAGAAGAAATCCACTTCTTGGGGAGTGAAATAGTTTGCAATTTCTCTTCAAGAGACAATGAAACTATTAATTCCTTCACCAGTCCCTGTAAGCCTCAGTAGTCACAGAGTTGACTTCTCTTTGTTTATCTTGAAATATTTCAACATGCAGAAATGTATGCAGAGTAGTATCTCAAATAAAATACCCTGCATCTACCACCAAGCATAACAGATCTTAATATTTTCCACATTTGCTTCAGATTTTAAAAATAACACATTTCAAGTAGAGATGGAGCCCCTGTGCACCCTCTTTTTCTCCCTAAAGGTAACCATGGTACTGAATTTCATACTTATTATTCATTCATGTTTTCATACTATGCTTGTTATGCATAAATGAATAGGGAGTTTATTTAATTGAGCTTTTATATTTTCCAAATTTATATAAGTGGCATGATGCAGTATGCCTTCTTCCTTTAACTCTGTGTTTATTTTGAGAA